AATTATAGTTTACATATGAGAATCTATATTTATCAGCAAAATTTATTGTTAACGTTTATTTACAGGCAGATAAACATAGATTAGCATTCGTAAACTACAATATACAACCGTTAAATATAGTTTTACAAATGCAAACTACAGTTAACGAATCGTTAACTATAGTTTACAGTTCGTAAACTATAGTTTACAATCGATAAACCTAGTTTATCAACTGTTAAACTATGTTTATCTAATTTTTGTGAATTTGGCGTGCCATACATAACGATATTCAGTAAATTAACTAAATTTAAAGTTTAAAGCTGATGGTGCTCAATTAGTGCCGGTTTTATATAAATGTTTTTTTCCCCCACAGTTGGAAGTTTATAATAATTATTGAAGTAGTGAGAATAGGGGGCGATGAGTGGGTGGCTGCCATTAAGTTACCTTTTTTGTCCGGATAACCCCTACAGTTTTCAAAATTGAGATTTTTGTTACAGTTGTACGTCAGAGATTGTAGCCCGCCTGGCGCAGTGGTTAGAGCGTTTGCATTAGAGTCGCGGAGTAATTAGTCGATCCTTACGTCGCGGGTTCGAATCCCACTGTGGGACTTGGAGACCGGTCCTTCGGATGAGACCGAATAAACCGAGGGTCAGTGTCGCAGTAGGTGCTGGCAAGGAAAAGATCCCTCACTGCTCAATGGCCGCGAGTGCCGAGCATAGGTCAAAATTTTCAGATCTTCTCCATATGAGTGAACAAATTCTCGAGAGGGGCGTTAAACAACAAACAAACAAACAAAACAAACGTCAGAGATGTGTTTGGCACTTGATTGTGATCTTTTGGTAATTCATAGGAAAAAAAAACAGTCGTTGAACTTAATTATTTTATGCATACATGTACATGTACCATTGTTTATAGGATACATCATTTGTCCTGATAACTCCTCCTACAGTTTTCAAGATAAATTTGATTTTATTTACATTCATTTGAGCTGTGCATGGTACTTTGATTATGATTTTGAAATGTATAGAAAAACCCATGTACCAACTGATGAACTTAGTCATTTTTATGCAAAATATTGTTTATAAAGTACATATTTTGTTCGGACAACTCCTCCTAGTTTCAGTATAGGTTTTTTTTTCAGATCTAGATCAATTGTACATAAAATATAGATGCATGTTATTTGTATTTGATTTTTAACCGGGTGTTTCGTAGGAAAAACCCGGTTATTAATAACCGGAAAATGGCGGGAGGCTTGGCGCTCGGGTGGCTGCCAAAAGGGTACTGCATTTGTCTGGATAACTCTCCTGCAGTTTTCAAGATAGGAACTTTTCTATTTTGCAGATCAATTGAAAATATATTTGAGATGAAATGTTACTTGGATTTTTTTTTATTTTAGATAATTCATTAGAAAAAAATACCAGTTGTTAAACTAGTAATTTTTACTCAAAATGTTGGGCATATTAGAGTACTGCATTTAATTGTCCGGATTCCGGATTACCCATCCTACAATTTTCTGGACAGAAGGGTTTTTCTCTTTTTTCAGATCAGAAGTACATATAACATGGATGTGCATGATACTTTAATTTTGATTTTTTTATCATTTATAACCAAAAAAAAAAAAAATACCAGCACAGTTCAGGAAAAAATGCAGGCTAGCAGATTCTTGACAGCTTCAATTGGTAATGATTTATTTATGAAAAATATCAGCTTTGAATAGATTATTTATGCAGAAATTCCAGTTTTTAAACCAAAAAATTTTACATTTATGCACTTATTGTTTATAGTGTTCATAAATATTGTATTGATGTAACCTCCTACAATTTTCGGAGGAGAAAGTTTAAATAATGTATCTGAGGAAACACGAGAACTATTCAAACAAAAGGAAACCCGGTTTGCTATAACATTACCAGCCTTCAGTCAGGGTTCTCCATGGGCCGTTTAACGTGGCGGCCCCGCCACAGTTAAATTCCTTAGCGCCACAGTTAAAAAATCAGCGCCATAGTTCCGCCACAGTTAAAATATTAGCGCCACAGTAAGATCGTCGTCGTCAGTAAGACAAATATAAATTTGTAAACCAAATGAACCTCCAAATTACGTACCGTTTTCAGTTTCTAATGCTAAACCGTTAATTTCCTCTAATTAGGGCCCACTGTTTAGCTTGCGCAATCAATTATCTTCTGGACCTCGCTGGACACTTGAATGAAAAGAGACAAGCCATTTTTTTTCCACACTTCACGATAAGTGCAAATGAAATTCTAATATTAATTAATTCATGCTTTTATAGGTCTACAGATAACCACGTCTTTAAAATTGCATTGACACTGCGAGTCAAACATCGTACGAGTTTCGTAATCATGTATTTTTGTAATGCTGAAAAATTAGCGATAGATCCACCAAAATATTATTTTATTACTCTAAACAGCTTAAGTATTTTTTTTAATTCACAAGTTTTAAGAAATTTCAGTCTTCAGACCAATGATTGCAAATATATATACTTAGCGTGATTGTGTGACTTACCAGAATTTCCTCTGCCCTTTGATAAACGCTGTTTAATTTACCTTTTGTAAACATTTTTTTTTAAATTTAAAAATAGTGTTTTATGCTTGAAACTTGTTATTACTGGTACCTTTATTTTCAGATTCTATAACCGAATATTTATTTATTTATAAGTACGTATTAGGGGGTGGAGATGGGGGGTCTTTTTCACAGTATGAATATACTTTGGAAACTTCCTAAACTTTGTTTTTTAATACGTTTAATCGATATCGATGAATAGTTTTATTATTAAATTTATTGATTAATTTTCCAAATAATAAATGTTATTTTATTTAACTATTGATTCATTGGGGTTGTGTGTTTTTCAATTTATTTGGTGGTTCTTTCGCGAATTCGGTCGCGAAATGACCTCGAATATTAGCACTTCGTGTAAGTCTTGCGCCACAGTTAAATTTGAAATGATGGAGAACCCTGCTTCAGTATCTGATTTATCTTAGAACACGCAAATAATTTTTTTCATTAAAAATTTATTTGCAAAAAAAAAATTGTCATAAAATTTATAGGAGTTACTGTACAAATATTAGAATTTATATGTGCCTAAAACATTTTTAGATATTCCCTGTACATGCATCTGATATCTTAATAATATTATTACCTTAAATACTGATTACTTAAATATATTTTTGCGGCCGATTTGATGCTTTGCATCAATTTAACTTGTTACTCCTTGTGGCATTATCGAAATGAACACAAAATATATCAAAATATTATTGAACATTTTTTTGGCAGTTTCATGCAGATGTTAGAAATTTTCATTTCTATGTATAACTTTTAGACTGGTAAATGAGTAAAACAGTCGTTTGTGTAGAAAGCCTGTAACCTTTTACCAAGTGTACCATCATCCAATCCCTCTGTTGGCGTTTAAACGATTTGAACATTTGATCTTCCTTTAAGCAAGTTTATAAGTAATTTTTTTAATAGATCCCCTGTATTTTGAGGAATGAGGAAAAACATTTTTTTTTTTAATTTTATCTTTTTTAGATGTTAATACATGTACGTGTATTGCTGAAAAATTAATCGGAAATAACAAAGTGAATTAGAATATCTCCCTAAATGATATCAGCTGAAGACAAGAATTAATGTGTGAAGCCTCTGTTGATGAAATTACGTTAGATATGAAAAATTTAGATCATTTCTTGAAAACATTTTCAAATGTTTATTGTAAAATTTAGGAATGACTCTAATTCTTGGCCAAATTATTCGAGTATAACCTGGTTTGGGTCAGTTTACGCTTTATAAGCGGATTATAAAACAGCGTAAACTGACCCAAACCAGGTTATACTCGAATAATTTGGCCAAGAATTAGAGTCATTCCTTATAATTTAATTTTAAAATCATTAAATAACTATGGGTGTAAAAATTCGTTGCTTTTTATTAGTTCAAATTTGCCGCTCAATAATACAACCGTAGTAACCGAAGTAACGGAAGTAATGGGAAGCGAGGGGAGGTAAGAACTGATACATGTATAGGCCTAGCAGCTTGTTTACATGTGGTAAGATCAAATTATTGTTTGAAGTTAAAGGTACATTTATTAAATCTGGAATTTTCCATGAATCCCGAGGACTGGAAATGAGAGGATTGATTCAGCTGGTTGTCAGGGTGGGTGGGGGGGGGGGGGGGTCCCCACACCAAACCAGGTTATACAGAAATAATTTGTGTTCCTTTTTGGATATTAACCAATCAGAGGCTAGTAAACAAACAAAATTAAATTATTATAAAATAATAAATAGAAAAGAAAACATAACAGAATGTGGTATATTTCACTGGCAAAGACATAGTGCTGCAGATTTTCTTTCCTTTCAAAACCGTTATCTATGGCCTAAATGGTTGAACCTGTCTTATTGAGATTAAACGGAGTCCGTATAATGCATTTTGGCATTTACATATCATAAAACATCAGATACAAAAGTGCAACCTTGTAGTAATGAAATTTAAAAACGTTTTTACATTTAATAGATCTTCTTCTTTTATTGCTAGATATTAACAAATAATCATGACAATTTCATACAGTTTAACAGGAATAAGAATATTTTTAAAAGGACTTAATTTTGATTCTCATGCATATGTACATGTTATTGACACGGTTTTCTCAATTACGGTAAATGATATTAAATTTCTAACATATTAAGCATTACAAATAAAAGCATTGATAAGGAAGCAATTAAGTTATACAAAACAATATAAAACTTGTCTAATCTGAACATCACTCATTCCAAAGAAATTGGCCGGATTAGACAACTTTTCAGATTAGACAACATTTTAAACAAATGAGCTTACTGAAAAAGACTTAAAGTTTACATCGTATTAGGCAAGATGTTGGATTATACAACATCCGAATAAGACAGTTTTCAATGTACTTTCACTTGATGAAGAAAAGCAACAAGGCAGACAAAGAGAAAAAGCAATCTGCTTGTAAATAAAACTTGAATTGAAAATATCAAATATAATACATTATAAAACAGCAATTTCATTATTAGTATTACATCCGGTAGAAAGGATTATTAATTGCCTTCTCTGCAAATGCATAATTTACTTCTGTATTTTCTTTCCCATTGATATCGGCAGCTGTTTGCGGTACAAATATTTATTTTTATCATTTTTTCTTCTGTTTGTCTTGGCTTTTTTAATTTTTTTAATATTCTTAGACACAGAATTTCGACAAGTCTTGGATTTGGATTTTCTTTGTTTTTTTTCTTTGCATCTATTTTCCTCCAGAACCAGTTTTCTAAATTCGTTGGCAACTTTTGCATTATATAAACACAATGCTAATCCACCTCTCTTATACTGAGTTTCCTTTTCAATGAAAAAAAAAAAATAAACAGCCATAAACAGTACAAATATAAATAATAAATAACACAAATAAATTATCATAACCACAAAAAACATAAAAAACAGTGATGAATTTTTACCTTGTCAGGATGAGATTTAATAATTTTGCTCCATTTTTCTCGATCGATTTTTGAAATGATTCAAATTTACTTTTTTTATTATGTAGAAAGGATTACCGATTCACAAGAAGTATTTTTTTTTTATCAAAATTTCTAAATAATTCCGTCTTTCTTAAAATTATCAAATAGATAAAATTGTCAAATTATCCTTAAGTAATTCTTCTAAATATTTTGATTGATTGAATGACTGTATTTTGTTTTAAGTCCCGTTTGAGATTAGAGAGGTCATCATATACCGATGAAGGGCTTCAAATTTAGAGCTTTACCCGACACTTAGGGCCATTGAGCACTGAGGTATCTTTATCGTGCCAGCGCCTACCGTGACACGGGGCCTCCGTTTTTGAGGCCTCGCCCGAAAGACCCGCAACTTTTAGTTTAAAGTGCCGAGCGCTTGGCAAAGGAACAGTTGCTACCAATTTCTTTTATCGACTTAGTCGCGGCCGGAGTTTGAACCCACGACCTCTTGATCACAGAGCGAGCGCTCTACGGACTGAGCTACCTTGACGTTTTTAAATGTTTTGAATAATTGCGTTAACTGTGATTTACGTTCCATTGTGTGCATAGTTTTATGCGCCTTAAAATTGTGTTTATCGTTTATAATCTAAAGGCAGCGCAGAAAATAAGGCTTTGATTTTTTTAGCAGTTAAAAAAACAACGTAATAGTTTGCTTACATAGATACTTACAATATAAATTCTAGTACGAAGTATCTTCAAGTCTAAATTATGAACGCTTAATTTAAAAAAAATCGTTCTATTGCAAAAGTAATCTTGTCTGGTGAAAGTTTTACAGCTGTACAGAGTTATTTTCGCCTGTTTTATATTTGCAAAAACTCCCGTTAAATTAGCGTTGTCTCCTTTGAATTCGATTGTCTCAAATTTTTCCACTTGCGACGAAGGCGAACGAGGCCAAAATAAAACGGAGACAAAAATTCCCCTGCATAGTAAATATGATGTGCTTCTTTGTTCTTTCGTCAATATATACGAGGGTTGTTTGGAAAGGGTTTTTTGGACCTCTGTCATTACTGTCTACTTAACGTCATAATATATCAAAATTTTGTAGAAATGTTTTAAAAATAATTCTGATCTGTAAGGAAACGTGTCCATACTATTAAAATGTGATCCAAAAATTAAAAAATTCTGTAGGCTCATAGGCACTTCTTAGTTGCTGATTTTATGAAGGCACAGTTATAAGGTAAAAGAAATAAAATCATTGACAATCGAAATTATGCAATTGGAGCAATTGTTGGCAAAACAAATTTCAAGTGATAGAGAACAGTTTTTATTGAGTGAGTATTGGGCGATAATGTGTGACATTTCATAGGGAGAATGTTTTTGAGAACCTTATGAAGCTATATTGATAAGTGTACTCCATGTTGATTTATTATATAAGTATCATGATGTCTATCAAATCATGTGAAACTTTACGCATCAATTTTTGTTCTTAATTTCAAAAGGGGTAGAATTGTCTGGTTGATGATGACTTAGCAATTAAAAGTTTAACCATGCACATCCATAAATCAATAAAATGTGAGGCTGATCAAATCAGAGGTTTGAATGCTAGAATGTTTGCATAGCTTAATTTAACATCAAATAATTGATTTGAAATAAAGTGCAACATCTTGTGGCAAAAGTAAGCTTTCAAGTTCATCCACGTCGGAGGAGCTGAACATTATTTTCTTTGTCGTTATAGCAAACACAATGTAGATGACTTCAAAATTTACGGAACTATTTATGTTTTTTAAGAAATGAGTGGTGAAACTCTCGAAATGACAATAAGAAACATTCAGAAAAAAATCTGTGTGCATCAAATATTTACGCTTCTGTTTATATCACCAATACATGTCCATGGCTCCTTTTTTGCCACGGCCCACTTCGAATGATCAAGGGATGTGCCGTAAGTCAGCCCATTCTCAAAGCAGACATTTTGCACATTAGTAACCTGAAATATTAACTTGATGTTATTCTTCTGTATTATATGGTGTCTAATTGATAAAAAATTAAAAATTAAAACATACCGAGTCCTTAGAAGGCAAGCTGGGTTGCCATGTTTGAACGTATAAAGAATCATTAAGTTCCTTCCTGATCAAATCCAAATATAAATCTACATTTGAATAAAGAAAAAAGTCAAATTTTTATTAAGTAGAGAGAACACGGAAAAAAGCAAACACGTCGCCTTTCTTAAAAAAAAACTGACATGAACTCTTAAATATGCATTATTTTCGTCCATGCACGAATTATTTTATACCTGTATGCCCTTTTCTGCCATATTTCTTTTCGATTCCGCCATATTTCTTAAAGAATCACTGCCTTTTCCACCCGCTAAATAAACCTTGATGCGTTTGTAAGACTTGAGTTATTTTCTGGCCTGGTTGTCGATATGTACACATCTCTCTTATAAACTTTTGGAGCATGCATGCATTATTCATGCCTTCATAGAGAAGGCGTCGAAAGCTTTAAACTTATCTACCTGAAACTCTGTTATCGGTACAGGGATGTGCACATGTAGAGAGAATTACATCCTATTTTTATAATATTTTGTTGAAAACTTGATTCACCTTCAACTTGGCATCACTTTCAAAATATTTGTCAAACAATTACTCATCACTTGTCCTGCCTTTTTCATGCTTAAGGTCAAGATCCAGTGAATGAAAATGCCTACAGATTTCTCAAATTTGAGAAAAGAATTCTTTTAATGATCTTTCTCAAATATAGCATGGGAAATCAAGGTGTATCGGGACTTAACGTTTAGGTCAACACAGAGAAAAATCGTATTTAAAGTGCCATTTTCAATGGAAAATGAACAACGTTTTGTTTAAAAAAAAGGTTTTTTTTTTCATATTGGACAAAGGAAATGTATCAATATATCCTACAGTCTCTTAAAAAACGGTTTTTCATATTTTCTTGGCCTCTTCTTTAAAATGATATAAACTGTATAAAGGTCTGGGGGTCACTTTTGACAAAATTTCAAATTAAATTTCATGAAAATGCTTCATTTTGTACAAAAAGTTTTATTATAGCTGTAAAGTACGTGAAAAAATTAAGTTGAAATCAATTTTGACGTCATAATGGATCTAGCACCAAAAAAGACAGTCTTAACTCATTTACTAGATCTTGACCTTAAGCCTTTACTTATACAAACAGTTCCAAGTTATATTTCACAAACATGGCGCCGATACGTACGGTATCGTTTGTTATTCGCACAAGAACCTATTTCAATAACACCGGTGCACGAATGGTATATAAAGCCCACGTTTTGAACGTCAAAATCAGCTTTGGACGTTTGTCAGCTTTATTAACCCTATTGTCGATACTTAACCAACGCATGCTTATTTCAGTATTCTTTTATAAAACAAGATGTCTATAGCAAGACCAAAAGTCTACCAATTTGCAACTGTGATTAAAAAAGAGAATATTAGCCCCATGGACTCAAAATCTGCGAAAGGCAACACCACTAAATAAAATGATCCTTGGTTTACTTTACTAATTTCATTGAGATCTGACTAAAACTACAGACAGAGAAGTCTATATTTTTTTTTAGAAGCTTAGAATGGAAACACCCAGTTTATAACACTTTTTATACTTGATCATGTGATCTAGTTTGAGCCAATTAGATAGCTGGCAACAATAGAGAAAAATAAAAATATCACTTAAGGTTCCCAGTGATCAAAATATACGAGGGGTGATTAAAACGTTCTCATACTATATATTTACAAAACCACAATTCAGATCAGAATGAAATTTCGCACACATATGTATATATAGCAGGTGTTGTATAATGTTTTGCTCCGTGTTTGTGACGTCACAATGTGAAAATGACGTCAGTATGTAGGTGACTTGTGACAAAAAATGGTTGACTCAGTCGTACTCGAGCAACGAATGGCTGTAAAGTTTTACGTATATCTTGGAAATTCTTTTGCAGTTGAATATGATAATTTGTATAAGGTTTATGAAGACAAAAGACTTGCCAGATGTTCAATCAATAACTGGGTAGATTGTTTTAGTGAAGGCAGGGAGATGGTTAAAAATGGTGTTAGTTTTGTTGCCCAGCAAAAGCAAACCGGGGAAAAGATGTGTCCTTAGTTGAGCAATTTGTTATGAAAGATCGCCAAGTTACAAGTTATTAAATCCCTAAAATATCGTTTACTTAAGACTTTAAACATATGAGATAGGATAAAAATAGGTCGTCCATACTTTATCCACATTGGATAAACGACGCTCCCGAGACAGAGGACTCGGGTTTTGATGATCACCATGCTAATTCTGGGAAGGAATATCTTTATCCACTCATCCTATTGCCGAGATTTGGCCATTTCTGACAAATGGACTGTTGTTGTTAAAAAGAAATAACTTGCATGGTAAGAAATATAAGACTCGGGAAAATCTTTTAGCTTCTGTGAACAGAACGCCAAAAACTTTTTGATCACCCCTCGAAAAATCAAAGTTATCACTATAGTACTTTTTTTTTTATAGTTTTCAAAGCTTTCACAATGGGGTCCTAGTGGTCATTATATTAAATCAAAGTTTTAACTATAGTTCAAGTGTCATATATAGCCCTATGGTATAAAGTTCTATAGTTTGCTGTATATGACTGTTGTATTCCTGATAGGGAAGGAGGAACATGGATTTATTTTAATCTCTTAAGATGCTGGATTTTTTTTTATTTGTCAAAATATTTGGGCAACTTCATTTCATTTATGACCTGAACTTTAACTGTGCTTTTAATACACAATAAGCTTTATTGAAAAGTGTATCCTAGTAATATCATGACTTAGGTACCTTTTCCAAAGGAAGACGACTTTGCTAACAATTTTAACTCTTCATTTCCTTTAGTTTTGATAGGCATACTATATGTTGTAAGCTCTCCCTTCAAAGGCACTCCTCCGTTTTGTGAATAAATGTAGGGATTTGTTGTAGCAAATGCTGTACCTGTAAAAAAAAAAAAACGATATAAAATAAAAATTTGTGATTGCATGTTACATTGATTTGATATGTAAATAGATAAGAATAAAATGCAAGAAAGGCGAATGCATCATACATGCAAGAAATACAAGTGATCCATCTATCTTAACAAGTATTCTAGGAAACTTTAAGAAATACTTGTCGAGGTGAGGTTACCCTGAAAAGGAAGAAGACACCATTATCCTCAAAAGGGAAAAAAGAACTTGCATAAAATAGTCTGCAAAAGCAAACAGCGCCAACCAAATGTTTTATTACGCAATACAACTCATATATAAAGGGTTTTTTAAAAACGCATTCTCAAGCACTGGAGACTTTCTGCAAACAGACACAATTCGCAAAGATATATTTTTCGATGAAATAAAAACCACCTACAGTAAACACAAAAACATAGGCGAAATGAAAATTCAGTCATGATAACAATAGCTTAAGACTTATAATTAAAGTGTTTCCTGATGGTGGTGGGCCTTAAGAGCAAAAATAATCTTTTTTTTTTTCTTTTACAACCGCCGAAACACTCTGTGCTCCATAATATCATTTTAATTGAATAACTCATATGTGGTCTAGAGTGTCGGGTCCTAGTAAATTTACAAATAGTTCGATTGATTGATGTCCTAAGCTGAATCTAAAGCGAAATAAAAACAAAATGCACATCAAATTACTTCGCTTAACTTTGTATCAAACGAATCTAATTTGAAAAAAAGAATTATAACAAAATTAAATCACATTACACATATCATTTGTCCGCTGGCAGATAGGTACTTATGCCGTGTTTGAGTGTAAAACAAAAGAAAGTACCTTTTGCTTAAAATGTGTATAAACAATATGACAATCTTTGATCCACATATGGTAACATAATTTGCAAATGACTTCATAATAACTCTAATAGATATTATCAACTTCTTATATGTATTAGTTTACTTGGCATACATGTAACTATGTGAACGCTTTTTATTTTGCAATATTTGGTTGGAATTCATTTTACATCAATTTCCTACGAATCGAAATTTAAGGCACATTTTTGTTCATAGGGCATTAGAATATCATGTTTTTAAAAATAAAAGTTAATACCTACTTAAGGAGCAAGTTCTAGACACTAAAAAACTGTAAGTACCTATTTCAGTACAAATTGTTGCCCGTGTGTATATCGTCGCCAATGTCTTTAGAACTGTGCTGCTTTTATTATTGCTCATCGGCATACATTTTTCGCAAGTTAAATAAAATAAACGTGCAAACATCATCTCCTACGCAATATAACAAAGCAGACCATTAATTAGGCACATATTGCTGTTCTGATCTTCAGAGTTTAAATCATGATAATGGTGTGTTAATTATAAAAACATCTGCACTTTTTTGTAATTTATCCGTCGTACCATAAATAATGTGACTAATCGATTGATTGACTTTAAAATATTTATCTTAAGAAAACATTTCCATTATAGTTAAAAGGTGATTAGGAAATAAAGTCCGTGTTTTTGTGAATGTTGCAGGATAACCTCCTCAGTCTTGAAATGTTGTTTGAAATATAAAAGTCGAGACTTTAGCAGAGGTTTTTATATTTCAAACAACATTTTGAAACTGAGGAGTTATATCCTGCATCATTCATGACAAGGACTTTATTTCTATTCTGCTAATAGCAGGTCACAATTTTGCAATCACGCTGTTCCATTTAACACCAGAGTGTCAATTTGTTTGTTTACTTTTGTATCGATTGCAAAGTAATGCAGAGGATTTGTGCTTTCCTTGAGTAAAACATATTATTTATTCTTAATATATTTGTTTGTAACATATATTTATTAATTGTCAAATGTAAATGTGAAAGGCATGATAACAGATTTCCAAAACTTGGTATAAAATTGAACAGTCTTCAGGAAGTAATTTCAAGAAGTCCAAAAAGTTCTTGATGAATGGTTCTTGCAACATTTTATTAAACAATCACGTGATTATAAGATTTAAGTTTATCATTACCGTTAAATTTTGCTAAAATGGTTTTTAATATTTATTGAGATATTTCGCTAAAAAGTATTTAAAACGTTTTTTTATACAGAGAAAATCACGTGATTAAGACATTTTCGAGAAATATTTTAACATTTTTAGAAGTATTTTTGCCTAGATGGCAATACATCTGGCTGAATTTTTCATTTTCCCTTTTTTATTTGAAGTACCTTTGATAAGAAGACAGAAATCCAGAGCAATTAAAATGCATATACATATTTTTGCCGGCGACAATGCGTACATAATTGTAGAACTCAAATCATCGCCTACTTTGCAGAGGAAAGATAAGGTGTATGCCGACACCTATTGTGCTGATAACAATATGTGTCAGCGGAGGGAAAACATTGCTGTTCTTTTTTACACATTATATCGCCAGCGACCATATATACAGATTTTTGCAGTCACAAGATGTCAAATGAATACATTAAATATGCACCCAGTGCCATATTCACATGCATGCCCCCAGCGTTTTCTTTTTCTTTGGCTATCAGATACTTTTGCTTAACTACTCGATAACAAATAAGAAGTGTCTCGGAAGATCGTACGTTTATGTTTATATAGGTTTGAAGCAAAAGATTATGACACTTTTGGCACGATATCTTCAACTGTTTTATTTACTAAACATTTGAAGAGAGGACTGTTAGTGATTTTACACAAAAAGCACAAAATGATTCCAAATACTAAAGACAGAATAAATTACACTGCTTTCAAAGGCGTTCTTTGGTTTATATTTTCTTTACTTTTAACACTCATTGCTCACTGAAACATACCCAATGTTTCCATATACTTAGGTCCCAATGTGACACAGAAAATTATCTGTCCCTTCACTGTTTGGCTATCTTTATATATATAGGAATCACTGACACTTTCCATTATACTTTCCGGAACAGCAGCTGGAAACCGTGGTACACTTGATATAATCCAAAATCCAGAGTCCTTGCCAAATGCATAAGTCCCTAAAATAAAGTAGAAAAGCTATGTTTGGATCCCGTTTGCATGTTATTATAATATCAATAACTTTATCAATCTACAGAAATATATCACTCTTGGATGACAACTTGTTTTTCAATCGTTTGAGCATTGTGTATTAGAGTTTAGATTTTGAGTATACGCATAAACTACAATACATACATACATACATTCATACATACAATACAACAAGTCCTTTTTAACTGCTTTTAGTTCTCACCCCCTTACTAAATTTAAAAGAAAAACCACATTGCATAGCAATGGTGATAATCTTACTTGAATCTGTGTTGGATGAGATAAAATACAATAAACGATGCACACTCATACATTAAAATGGTTTGTTTTCTTTCAACAGTGAAGTCGTAGAGACTATTTAACGCTTTATAGAATGTAACATTGGTATTCGAACACGTTACCGTAACGTTAATATAAGCACATGCACTCGTACAAACCCTTTGAATGTCCATAGCTTTGTCCTACATCTTTATTTGGAGGTTGATCGTTGTACATTCCGTAATTTTGCAGTGTCTTCGACTGAACATAACAATGAAAAGATAAGTATACGTTTTCACAAAATCGATTAGCGATTAAAAAATGGGCATTGAGAAAAAAAAGGCTGCGATATCACACAAAAATGAATCATTCATTTAGACATATGGTTTTTGTTTTGTCTTAATATATACAGAATATTGTTCGACATTCTACTGATATTCGTCTTTGTTGCCAAAAATACCGGCACTCTGATTCTATTTAAAAAAAAAATCACTATCACTTAAAAAAAGGAAAATTTAATTAAATATGAAAAATAAATTCGCTTTGTTTACAAAACATAACGATGTAAACATAATATTCACCTTGCTATATAAAGGAAGAAGTGTTTTATAAACAGGATTTGTTTTTGTACTTTGGATGTCCCGATTGCAATCAGAAAAATTTGGTGATGTTTGCAGGGAATCCATGTAAAAGTATTCTGAGCCTTCAGTGTTGAAGTTCCCTGATAATGTTGGTACTTTATACACAATAAACCTACAATAAATATGTACATGTTCGGTTACACAGCGTCCCTGTATCTGTTAGAAATTTTGTGCAAAAATAAAATTATGTACATTAAGTAAACAGCAACGTTGCGAATCACCTTCAGAAAAAAAACTTGAAAATAAAGACACACAATTCATGTTTTGTACGTATCTAAATTTCACATCCAATACATTCTCTGAAATGCTTTACTGCAACTTTTGTGCTTTCCAAGTCTCTAAAAATCCTTCTTGTTTAGTAAATCGAAAATCTCTTCCTCATAGAGTATACCTAGAATCTACTAGCGGCATTTTTGGCTGCTAAGTATCCAAGGCCAAGATGATACTAAAAGGAAAACATGAGAACCGTTCGGAGGGTTGGTATACGATATTTACATGTATTACCAGGAGATACGACATATTATTATCTTTTTAACTGTCTGAAACAATCAGATGGCGCGTTTTACAGAATAATTCTAATCATAAAGAGTAAAACGTTTTGTTGGTACTTAGCTTCGAAAATAATTTGAGTAATAATTTCCGATAAAGAAAAAATGTAATCCCTATACTCATATGAATAATACAAATGTGTTATGAAATCACATACATTCAGAATTTTTCAAATAGAATGTGTTTATATCACCTTGACATGGTCTTGCAAGGGGGCGGGGGATATCAGAGTTTTCAAATTTTAATAGCGGAAAGTTGACCTTTGACTCATCCTAGAACACATAGACCACCTAAGAAAACACGGGTTTTTAATATAATAATTAGGAAAGTCATTAATATATACGAAGAGAGCAATTGTATAAAATTCAAATTCTTAACTTCTTATCAATTTATATCTTTTGTAATCGTTGTTATTTACGTTTTTCATAAAATTATGTAAATTTACTTAGTTCATTTATATCTATATAAAAGAAGTGTGCATTCTTGCACTAATACCATGCTATCTTACCAGTCGACAATTTCGTTAGATGGAGACTTGCATGTAATCGAACAGGAACACCATCCTCCAAGTCCAGAAATGATGGCGAGCATAAAAATATATCTATGATTGTTCAGATCTACGTCCATTACTAAAGTTGCAGTCATAAAAATTTGCTCCCTCAATGATTTTAGACTGCTGACCCTATTTTCGACCTTCAGACTGCATCATGTCACAAGACATTAAGGAAGTTTAAAACAAACGTATATCTCGTTAGTACATTTTGTCATTACAACTCAAAACCCTTGAGTTTGATGAAGTGTACATAGCTTTTCTATTGCCATAATCTAACATTTTGTTATTTTTGTTATTTTTACACTGTCAAGATCATAGCTGAAAAGCAAGGAAAATCTTTGCTGTTATGATTGCTTCACCAACTTCTTCAGTGCATTCAAATGAAATCAGAAGAATTTTAATTCGCTATAAAATTATATAATATACATGCATGCAATGAATATTTTGTAACATGTATTTTTTATTTATTTATTTATTTGTTTATTTATCTATTTATTTTATTTTATTATTATTATTATTTTTTTTTTTTGTAGTAGTAAGTAACAAATTCTTCCTTCTTAAAAAAGTTAGAACATAAAGTACACATAATTATCCTCACAAATCAAGAAATATTACAAAGCATTTTATCTATTTAACTTTAAAATGAAAGCGTGAAGGTTATTATGTAATTTTAAGACCAACAGCAATAATTGATTCTTTTTAAAAATAGAAAAAATTTTTTTACATAATTCACGAAAAAATGAAAAACATTACAATTTTTGAAAATAAATGTAAATAGTAGGTCTAGACTGTGTTTTTAATTTTATTCAAACTGTTTCGGTGTTGAGTTGTTTCTTTTTTCTTTCTTTTATTGTTTTTATTCATGTCATGGCTGATAATCAAACTGAATGTTTATTTTTGTTTATATTTTCATCGTACTTCCTGCAGATGCCACCATGATCCTTAGTCAACTGGAATCAGAACAACCAATACACCCTATTTCCTTCCTCGCACTGGTTCGTACTAGGGACAAAATATCTGTAATCTCTTCCTTCTTCTTACATTTTAAGAGAGCTAGTGATCTTAGACTTTGTATGTTTCTAAAAATTAAAATGTGTTGCTTATTTGGTCGGCGCTGTGCCGGGCAGTACTTTCCTCATGATAAAAAAGGTGGACATTTTTTAGGTTTATCCTATTTATGCTTTAAATATTGTTTTCTGAAACCATTACGTTCTACATTGTTTATCAAATCTTAAGTTTACTTCTTAGTATAATGTGTTATTCTACAGTAATTATAATTTTATTTGCAAACCATTGTAAGAAAAAAATGGTTATTTTCTTTCCCACAACTCAAACTTTCATTTATACCTTTTACAAGAGTTATTGTTCCATTTTTTCCCCTTCAAAATAATGCAAAAATAATGCTTTTTTCTGTGTAATGATCAAAATGTCATTAGGTTTCAAAATATATTATTCAAATAGCAATTTATACCTCATATACATTGTTTAAGTTTTACAAGGAAGCATTTTAAGAAAGTATTTATGATATTTCTATACTCCAAAACGCATATGCGGCAACAGAACAATCTAGCATGCATTTGAAGAATAAATAGTGAAAAAAAATATGTAATGCAATTTGTATTTAAAATGGTCGTCCACAGCTTGCTTTTTAATAACGGGATATTGGAGTGTGTAGCAAAAGTTCTACATGAAATAAAATTCATATTTAAAAAATGTACTATCAATTATTTAAATGTACTATCAATTATTTACATATCTTTGTCGATATATAAGTATTCTGACATATTGTAACCTCAATCTTTTTTTTCAAATCATGGGTAGAATTTGTATCAGGTGTTTCGAATACATGTATTTATTAGGGTATAAAAGTACAAATCTTCTTAAGAAAAACGGGTTTTACAAGCATCACCCGGGGGTGCAGATTCAAATTTGTTAAGAAGATGATCCTGGAAGGTAAGGAAAGGGCCACAAATGTGATAGCAGTTTGACGGAATTTTTTTTTAAAATCGTTGCAAGAAAAGCAGGGCATTGTTTATATAATATGCAAACGCCTACATATAGTGCATGATCGATTTTGTCCAAATCATGCATTTTTGGGATTGGACGGGATTACAATAAAGAATTATTTAAGATCATATTTTTACATTGCAATGAATAAAAAATAAAGTATGTCCTGTGCATCAGAGCTATAGTAAGTCGTATGGAAATCCAAGCATGAGCAATTGGTAGAGATTAGAATGTATTCAAACAAATTTCATCATGAGGTAGGGAAAGACCAGAATGCAGCATTGTAGTAACCATGAAGGATGAAATAACCACTAATGATATAAAGCTCCACTGATAGTTAGAATCCTAACAATGAATTATACAACTGTATCTTTAACAAAGTCACCATTCGTCGGCAACTGATGAAATTCCAAATTTGTATCATAAATGGTCAAATTCCAGATATGATATAAAATGAAAGGCCCAAATACGTACTATATTGGCCATTAATTATACACTTTTCATTGCATCAGAGGATAAATTTGAAACTTTTCATGAAATATGGAGATTTTTCTTAATGACATTGCTAAACTGTTAAAAATTGTTATGAATCATTAAGTATTAGTAAGATGCTGGGGATCATCATTGACAATATTTTGTTATCTTTGGAGACTGGGTTTTCCATCTATTTGTTGGAATTCTGATGTTCATTAATTGTGCCTCTTTATGGGTCGTCCAGTCTTTATACGGAATTCTATTGGTCATAAAGTGAAATGCATAAATTCGTTAAAAAGCGTCTACTCCCTCAAGTACATTTTGCACACAAACTACGTGCATGGCTATGGTGAAAATGGGTATGTCTAAAAATTGTGAACATTATGGTCCCTGGTTAGACAAACTAAGAACGTAGCTATGACGAACAAGGGTGTCCACTCAAAAATTGTGATATTAATGTCCTCTGGACCAGGGTTTCTGATGTTGGTGCAGGGCTCTATTGATCATATAGTAAAAACCCATTGATTCTTGGAAAATGGATCTCTGTGTTCTTGGGTACTAAGCAGACAATGAAGGTAAATAGTTATGTTGAGCAAGGGTAAGTCTAGCTAAATTCTGAAAACCATTACTCCTCTGCTCTAAAGTATTAAACAGAGAAACTGGGTACATGGTTATGATGCGCATGGGTGTCCCATCTAAAATTGTGAAATTCGTACCCCCCCCCCTCCCCGGGTCAGGTTTTCTGGCATTATAGGCTAGATGATTTAATCATACAGGGAAAACGCATTTCATATTCTTTAAAACTTTTATCTGCTCACGGATAACTCAGCAGACAAACTAAATACACACTTATATATGTAGAGAAAATCTGGAAACATTTATTTTCGGATGTAGTTAAATTTAATCCAATATATACTTTATCCAGATAACTTCCAGAAGATTTCTATGATGGCCGTAATTTTACATTCGGTTTAGAAAAATGCGAACCTTATAGGGGAAATTGGATTGTGTAGACTTGTAAGAAGTAGAGTGGCAGAATAGGTTTTCGTATGAGAGGATATGATTATGATTTCAGACACAAAGACCACTCAGTCCATGAATGTCTTTTTCTTTAATTTATAATAAATGAAGGTATTTAAGGATTGAATTTATTAACTACCCAACTAAAATATATATCTTAGATTGCAAAAGATTCCACTTTAAAAACCACAAAGACAGATTGAAGTAATTTTCCTTAAAGCTGATGGAAGTTGTATTTTGACCTTTTTTTGGTATTTTGACAGCCATGATTAAACCATAATAAAAAAATCCTTGCAATATTAATCTTTACATATTCAAACTAATATCTCTAAACCAAGAAAGCAAAATGAATGCATAATTTTGTTTCAATAAAATTTCTTTCCATGGATTGTGATGGGTTTTTTTATTATAAATTTTTGATTGAATATCTGACCTGTCACATCTTTCTTGCTCTTTGACGAGTTTTCGAAATTCTTTGGCAACGTTTTCATTGTGTAAACACAATGCTAATCCTCCTCTTTTGTACTGAGTTGCCTTAAAAAAGTCAAAACAAATAAATTTTGCACAGATCTGTATTTATAATTGCCTTTAGTTATAAAATGTAAAAGAAATAACAACTGCAATCTTTTTAGATTTCATACGAACAAATTAGTATATAATTTATGATTATTCTCAAATTTATGTATATTAGCTAAAAAAGATTAAAATGTTATAAGAAATAAAAAGTTTGAATAGCATTAATTTTAAAAGACATCAATACATTTTCTGATCTATGAAAACATCAATAATTATCTAATTATACTAATAATTATTTAAGCTATAAAGGGAATTAATAGAAAACGAAAACTTTTTTCCTGACCATATTGTTTCATCTTTTCAGCTAAAATTTTTATCATTTATTTGTCACCCTGTTTTTTAACTAAATGAATTCTTATACATGAGGAAGGTAAGGAGATTTATTATTTTTCATGAAAATCTTAATTTCCTCTCTCTCTCTCTCTCTTTTCAAAATAATCAGAATTGTCACTTGCACGTTAAGAGAGGAGTTTAGCAAACCAACGTTTCCTCTTTTAATCATGAAATTAAATCCCCTTGAACCAGTAATTTTTCTTTAAACCACGTAAATTTAACCTCACGAAAAAAAGTGATTTTTGTAGTATATAGTTAATTCATTCAGCTTTCAAAAGAAGAATCTGTATCATTAATTGTATACTAAGTAATAGATATTTACACTTCTGTTTATATCACAAATGCATGTCCATGACTTTTGTTTGGCAACTGCCCACTTCGAGTGATCAGATGAAGTGTTGAAAGACAACCCATTCTCAAAACATACATTTTTCACATCGGTAACCTGAAATTTTGACTATATACGAGGGGTTATCAAGAAGTTCGTGGACTGATGCGATAAAATTAATACTATGTAGTCTGTGCTTACAAAATTATAAGGAACATTTACCATCAAAAGTTTAAGGAGTGTTGAAAATTTCAGCTTGATACTTTGATAATTTGCTAAATTATCATTGAATAAAAAAGGCATTATATGAT